CTCAAAAATCGCCTAAACGAATCCGCAAATCCTTCGCCCCTTATTGTTGCGGGCGCAGCGCAGCATTTAGTCTTCGCGGAGCCTCCAGCCTTGCTCCTCCGGACCAAGGGGTGATCCGACACAGCCGTTCGCAGGCCGCGGCCGGATTTACGTTGCTGACGCAGCAGCATCGCGACGCTCAGTTTCACAGCTCTTGCAAGCGCAGCTACGCAGGCAGCAGCGACAACAAAAACATAAACATACACACGTTTCCCTGACTTGCGCGCATACACACATCCATTTTCTACGCATTGTCCATCAATTGTCCATCCATTTTCCACCCATTGTCCATTCATTTCCCATGAACTTCCCATCCATTTTCCATACATGTTCAATCAATTTCTATCCATTTCCATCCACATTTCCCTTCATTTCCCCACATGTCCCTTCACCAGCGTGGGCAACATCCCCAGCATCCCCTGCATCACTTGCGTCATCTGCATCAATGCCCGCCATGGATGCGGATGATGCAGGTGATGCAGGGGATGTTGTCCACTATGTGCACCCCCAAGAAACACTTGTTTTTTGACTCTGCGGGGAGATGGCCAAAAAGTCCGCAAAAATCGCTTAAACGAATCCGTAAATCCTTCGCCCCTTATTGTTGCGGGCGCAGCGCAGCATTTAGTCTTCGCGGAGCCTCCACCAGCATCCTCTGCATCAAAAGTCGGCGGCGCGGGCGGGCAGCCCCATAGAGCTTCGCTCTAGAGCCTTGCTCCTCCGGACCAAGGGGTGATCCGACACAGCCGTTCGGCCCGCTTCGCAGGCCGCGGCCGGATTTACGTTGCTGGCGCACAACCGGCCGCGGCAGCATTGCGACGCTGCACTTTGTATCTGCCAGCCGTCACTCCGCAACAACAACACAGGCCGCCGACATTACAGGCCTGCTTTGTTGTATGTGTACCTGTGGAATTTTCCCATTGGAAGTTTTCCATTGTTCCATTGGAATTATCCCATTGGAATTCTCCCATGGGAAGTCTCCCTTTGGACATTTCCTGTTTGAATTTTCCCTTTGCAAGTTTCTTCTTTGGAATTTTCCTTTTGGAATTGTCCCATTGGAGTTCTCCCATCGGAAGTTTCCCTTTGGACGTTTCCCTTTGGAATTGTCCTTTTGGAGTTTGCCCATTGGAATTCTCCCACTGGAAGTCTCCCTTTGGAAGTTTCCCGGTGGAATCTTCCCAATTGGAAGTGTCCGTTTGGAGTTTTCCCTGTGATATTTCCCCTTGGAATTCTCCCTTTGGAATTTTCCTATTTTATTTTGTTTCTTTGGAGTTCTTTCTTAAGGGAATTTTCCCCACTGGGTTTTCCCCTAACAAATTGACAATAGTGATACAAATTATACTTGTGTAATTTTTGCTAAATTGAAGACTTAATAAATTTTGCAATATTTGTAAAACTTGCAATATTATGCAAAAAATCAATAAATTTGACAATATATATATATATAAGACCATATAATTATCACAAAATGTATAACTCACTCAACTTCACTCACTCAACCTCACTCACTCAACCTCACTTACTTTACTCAATCTCACTCACTCAACCTCACTCACTCAACCTCACTCACTCAGCCTCACTCACTCAACCTGACTCACTCAACCTCACTCACTCAACTTCACTCACTCAACCTCACTCACTCAACCTCACTCACTCAACCTCACTCACTCAACCTCACTTACTCAACCTCACTCACTCAACCTCACTCACTCACTCACTCAACCTCACTCACTCAACCTCCCTCACTCAAACCTCACTCACTCAACCTCACTCACTCAACTCAACCTCACTCACTCAACCTCACTCACTCAACCTCACTCACTCAACCTCACTCACTCAACCTCACTCACTCAACTCACTCACTCACTCAAGCCTCACTCACTCAACCTCACTCACTCAACCTCACTCACTCAACCTCACTCAGTCAACCTCACTCACGCAACCTCACTCACTCAACCTGACTCACTCAACCTCACTCACTCAACCTCACTCACTCAACCTCACTCACTCAACCTCACTCACTTAACCTCACTCACTCAACCTCACTCACTCAACCTCACTCACTCAACCTCACTCACTCAACCTCACTCACTCAACCTGACTCACTCAACCTCACTCACTCAACCTCACTCACTCAACCTTTCTCACTCAACCTCACTCACTCAACCTCACTCACTCAATGCACGCACACACGCCTGCGCGCGCGCGCGCGCGCAGGCACGCACGCACGCGCGCGTCGCGCACGCACGCGCGTCGCGCACGCACGCGTGCGCGCACGCGCGCACGCACCCACGCAGGCACGCACGTGCACGTGTGCAGGCACGCACCCACGCACACGCGCAGGCATGCGCGCACGCACGCAGCCTGTGCCAGTTGCCACGCAAAGCATGTCAAAACCAGTCCTTTTTCTCGGTTTTTTGCAGTGAAAACCTTGCATTTTTCCAGCGTTCCAAGGCTGCGGCGCCCAGCAACATCCCCAGCATCACCTGCATCACCAGCATCACCCGCATCACCGGGGCAAGCCTTCTGACTCACAAGCCCAAGGCTGCAGACCCAGAACCAGACCCAAAAACAAGCCCAAAAACGCACCCCCGGGAAGCAAATGATGCAGGTGATGCTCTTCATTTTCCTCTTCACGGACCCCCCGGCCGCATCAGTTGCATCACCTGGTCGGCGGCAGAGGGTGGCAGCCCCATAGAGCTTCGCTCTAGAGCCTTGCTCCAGAGGACCAAGGGGCAATCTGACACAGCCGTTCGGCCCGCTTCGCAGGCCGCGCCCGGATTAACGAGGCTACCGCCTGCTGCCGCCGACCCCTCCTCTGTTTGGGGGAGGGCGTTAGTTAAATCCATGAAATCGGCATACATTTAAGTTGAGAAATGCCAGTTCTGGTCCCAGGACCGGTCCTGGGACCGAGCCTGGGGCTCACGCTAAGATGGAATCAACGGAGTTCCACATGTTTTGCACACTTTTCCGTTTATGCACGGTCGACGTCCAAACAGCTCGGGCCAGCCCTAGGCAGGACTGGCATCAAGAGGGAATTAACGGAGTTCCACACTGTTTCCACGATTTTCCGTTATATCGCGGTGGGCCAGAGCCGGTTCAGGGCCCACCGCGATATAACGGAAAATCGTGGAAACAGTGTGGAACTCCGTTAATTCCCTCTTGATGCCAGTCCTGCCTAGGGCTGGCCCGAGCTGTTTGGACGTCGACCGCGCATAAACGGAAAAGTGTGCAAAACATGTGGAACTCCGTTGATTCCATCTTAGCGTGAGCTCGCTTCGCACTAACGGCGAACCATTAGGATGTCAAGGGCTGCTCCTCAAGGCGGTCCCCGGCATCACCAATCCCAGGTCGCAGTACTGGTCCGGTCCCAGGACTGGTCCCAGGACCGGTCCTGGGAATTCACTTTTTGGCGATTGACAGGGGTCCCCCGAGATAATCCCTGACAGGGTCCAAGAAAGACATTTGGTTGCATCCCACGCCGCTCCCCTCTGCCAGCTAGGGCTAGCACTTGGAGCAGAGGGGTCGGCGGATTACCGTTTTAGCAAACGTTGAAGCATCAAGCGGCAAAATATTTTCGCTATCTAAGCGTGGCTTGCTTTTGGGGTGTTCTTTGTCGCTGTGGCTTATCTTTGCGGTACCTCGTGGAAGCCGCAGGGACCTCCGGGGCTCTTGTTTGGTACCTGTTTTTTGTGGTCTTGTTTGTGCCTACGGCACTGAATCCGCGCGTGTGTTTTTGTGCTTTTTGTGTTTTGCACTTGTTTCATGTGTGTGGCGGCAGAGATGTTCTCCGAGACCAGGACAAGGTGTGGTGTGGTATGGGGTGGGGGGTGGGGGGGTGGGGATGGGGTGGTGATAGCAGTCAATGTGGACGCCTTCGCAGGCGAGCCCTTTCTTTCGGCGCGTGTTGGAAGTTCATCACTTTGTCAACGCACATTGCGGCAGCACTTGCCTTATCGATGGAGCACCCAACTCCGCGTGCAATCACTCGAAGCAGTAATGGATGCGAACAGTGCGTCCGGGGTGCAGGGGCATTTTGAAGTTGCTGACCGTTCACACAGGCAAGATAGAGTTTTGCTGGTCTCCTTGCAAGAGCTATATTCCCAAGAACTTGGCCACCAAAACGGAGCCAATATTAATACTAAATACAGACTTGTGCCTGTTTATGAGCTCATGGCAGTGGAGGTGGGAGAGGATAAGCCATGGCCTCTTCAAGGAATCGGGCAAACAGGTTGCGAAGCTATGAGGATCATGTGTCAAAAAAGGCCCATTCGCGTTGTACGCTTTCCCATGTTTTACAGGGTTTTGAAAAAATGGACCTCCGTTTTGGGACCAAACAACAAGGATGTGTTTGTGTATGTCACCAGCCAAAACCCTGAACAAATGGAGCATTTTTGACATCGGCCGACAAAAACTAGTAAATTGCACGCGCGGTTTCAGATCCGGCGGGTTGTTTGTGTGGTTGGCTTTAAAGGGAACATTGAAGAAGCCGACCTGTTCCGGAGTATTTCTAAACCCATTCTCAAACAAACGGCTTGCAGCTGGTGACGACTATACCTGTTAGTTCAGTTCCCTGCGCATTCCCTGAGGAAGGATGCCTTGTTTCTTGCGGTTGGCTTTAAAGGGACACTTGAGCCAAAATTAATACCCGGTTAGTAAGGGGTCAGTAGGGAAGGATCCCCTTGTCATAGTTCCATGCGGCCGCCTTTTGTAAATCTCCACATGGTTTTGGCTAAAGAGGTTTTGTACCTCGACTCACTTGAGGAAGCCACCTGTTTCTAGGCCCCCTCCAGGACCTAACTGTGGCTCGCCAAAGTGGCTTCCGTCAATGTGTGTGCAACTTGCACAAGGAGCCACGCACGCCACTTTTTGCGGTTGTTGTTTGTACGAGTTACCCAAACAAACCGGGTGGTGTAGGCCCCTTGGAGTGTGGCGATTTCTGGCTGCCATGGGGCTGATGTGAGGTCACTCGCTTTGTCTCCGAGGCGAAGGGGATAGCAACCAAGGGAAAAACTGTCCTTAACCAGGGTTCCGGCTAAAAGATACGGCTTTGGCAAATTTGAAACACGGCCTTTTCAACCTAATGTAAACACCACCATTTACGTGGGTAACTGGGTGTATTTCATATAAGAACCCCTGCTAAACTGGGGGCCATGGCGAGTTGTGGCTGCCTCGTTCCAGGCAAATGACCCATCATTTTGACCAGTCCCCGCCTCTGGCTCAAGAAACCCGCGCATCAGCGCGCAATCGGATAAAACAGGTGTATGCGGGCGCCATAGCCAACTACAGGCTGAAATCTAACACCCCGCACGCAGGTTATCATCCGTAATCGCCTGCGGCCTGATCTGCCTCGCCTACTACCAGAACGTCACTACGTGTGACTACTGGATCAACCGGGATAACCCGGACACCGAGGAAACAGGATCAAAGCTGAGAGACCAAGATAGTTGCAGTCTTTCTACGATGTCTTTCGACGGTTCGTCAACGGCAAGGTTTGGGGAGACAAGTTCGGCGAGTACGCCCGGAAACTATGCACTGCCGGCAGCCGGGACGCCTGGACAAGAGTCTGTTGCCAGCGGGGGCGGACGCGAAATCACCGCTGATTCCCCCGAAATGGCAGGCCCATCTGTGGCCAGCGAACCTAAGTCATGGAGTATGGTGGAACAGCGATCCCCGACTCAGAGATCACCAAGGTCAGTTAAGAGAGTTGATCCCGATGCGGACTCGGCTCGAGGGTCCGGTGCTGACCCTTCCTACGGAGGTATCTCCGAGGGGGTCCACGTCAAGGCACCAAGGACCGACATCAACCCACTTGCTAAGCGAAGTGCATCACCGAGATCATCCGTTGATGACGACAAGGAGAAGCTGACCCACCTGATCAGTGAGTTGAGGAAGAGAGTCACCGAGCTCCAAGAGAACGAAGAAGTGCTGCGACTGGACAATAGCGGGTTCATGGAGCGGGTCGAGATGTTGGAAAGGATGAAGGCCAACTCCGAGAAGCAGGTCGAGCATGTCCTCAAGACCGAGCACGGCTTAAGGGCAGCTTACGATAGGAGCGAAGCCAAGATGAGCGGCATCGCTGCAGAAAGAGACTCTCTGATCGACGCCATGAACCGAATGAACGCCGACGCCAACGACATTGTGAAGAAGGAAATTGAGAAGGTGAAGAATGAGGCTGAAGAGAAGCACGCCATTGAAGTCAGGCGCTTGAAGAATGAGGTCACGGAGAACGTCGAACAGGCGAAAGCCGAGCTCTTCAGCTCATTAAGAGGAGAAGCGCAGAGCTACGCTGTTCATGAAGAGGAGACAGTCCTGAAGTACAAGACTGAGGCTTCTCAGGCTGTCAGCAGGGCTAACGCCGTCGAGTATGAGATGAGGTCAGTGCGGGATACTGAGAACCGTGAGCAGTGGATCACGCAGATGAAGAACTTTGTGGAACAGAGGGACCAATCGCTCAGGGATGAAATCCAAGTAAGGGATCTCGACAAGTTCAGGTTGCAGTATGAACTGACCGAACAGGAGAAGAAGGCAAGTGAGCGAGCTGAAGACGTCAGGGCCATTGAAGATGCGAAGTCCGAGATTTCGGAGGTGAAGAGGCAAGCCGACCACGCGCTCATGGAAAAGGAGGTTAAGATGGTCTCACTTAGGGCTGAAGTAAACTCCCACATCTACTTCGGGAAGGTGATGGAAGAGATGAAGGATGACGTGAGGAAGGCTGAGACCGGTGCTAAGGAAGAACTTAGGAAACTTTGCTCCGAGCTCACCGAGGAGAGGGATGCCTTGCGGGATGCCACCGTCAAGATGTCTCTACTGGAGAGCAACTCGAAGAGGTACAGAGATGAACGCAATCAACTCCAAGAACTTGTCGATGAACAAGGCCTCCTCGAGGACGATGACAAGCCCGATCCCCCACCTGGACTACAAGCATCGGGAAGCGCCGCAGCGCCTACGAGCAATCGAGCGCTAGGTGCGCCCCTTTATGATCAAGATCATGGCCGAGCCGTCGACGCTGTCACGGGATGGGCTCAAGGCCCACATGGTGCAAGTTCCACAAGGCAAGAGGCTGACGGTGGTGACGACGGGAAGGAAGCAGCTGGTCCTGCGACCCCGAGGAAAACGGGTGATAGTGGTCTCAAGATATCCCACAAGGAAGCCGAGACCGTCAAGGTACCAAGCTGGCCCAGACCCAACAACTTGACTGTGTGGAAGGCCACCCTTGCCAACGCCATCTGCACTGCAAGCGGCGATCCACGAACGGATCTGTGGCACTCTTGGGTTCTCAAAGCCTTCGATACCGATGCGTTTTTTGAGGATCTTGGAGACAGCGAACATGATCGATACCGTAGCATTGACCAGAAGCTGTTTGCCGCCATGGTGGGAATGGTCAAGAACTCTGGAGACGGCGGTGCTGAGGTTAGAATGGAAATGGAAATGCTGATCACTCGCAACATGAACCGAGGGAAAGCCACAACCGGTCGACAGATTATCTTTCTGGTGTTGCAGAACTTCAGGACACATGAGAAATCGGATATGGTATACACCTTGGGACACCTTGTTGAGTTGAAGTTCGAGGGTGATAAGAAGCTGCCTGAGTTCAGGAGGAATTGGCATGAAATCCTCGAGAACATGAAGAAAGAGGATGTTCCTGGAGTCGTCTCGCTCCGAGACATCATGTACATGAAGATTAAGGAGTCGAAGGCGATGGAGTTTGACCTCAGGTACTACCGCACTCTTAAGGAAGGCCATGCCGACAAGACACTCACGTTTCTGCTGAATGCCATCAAGAGGACTATCCAGTCCAATCGTGAGGAGAAGAACTGGGAGATGAAGAACCGTGCTCTGAGAGACTACAGGCACAATCAAGCTGCTCCAGGCGTCGCTGAGGATGGTGACGACGAAGGTGAAAAGAAGAAGAAAAGAAGGTCGAAGAGCAGAACCAAGAAGGAGAAGGACAAGCCTGGAGAGGATGCTGCCCCACGGTGATGAGTGAGGTCTCCCAAGGAAACAAGGTCGCTGGTCAGGGCGTGAACCCGAACACGATCCCCAACCACTTCCTCGACGCGAACATTCCCAACGCCTTCAACGGAGTCTGGGAGATGGTTGATGAGATCCCGTTCCTTGCTCAGGGCATCCTTGCCACTGACACTGTCCAAGGCGTTCTTGATCACCGCCTCACAGGCGTAGGAGGACTTGGTGGAGGTGCCAGGAGGTGGTCTATGACGACTATGTCTACTGCTAACATCTTCCTGAGATTCTCTTCGGTCAAGCAAGACTGCGACAACATTTGGGACAAGGTCTTCAACCTGAGGGAGTGGAGGAAGGGCGCCGTTGGTCTCGCGATGGAAAACCCGGCAAGGTACTCCGCCGTGGACCAGAGCGAGAACTACGAGCTCTTCAGGGAGATCCACTACTGCTTCATGATGAGCATGAAGTTTATGCTCTTCGCCATGAGGAGGGATGATGAGTGCAACGTGCTTGACGGTCTCTTGACGTGGTTGAAGGGAAGAAACATCCACGACATCTCGCCCACTCAGGCTTCAGTGATGTTTTGCATTACGCAAATTCACTACTTGATGTTCCGGCTCATTGAGATCCTTGACTCCAGCATGAACATGGGATACAGGGCCAAAGGAATGTTGGGTACTACATCTGGAGAGCCTGGTCAGTGGATTGACAACCTCCACAACTTCATGTCGCTCATTCCCTTCGCCACCGAGCTTTGGTCGGGGGTCAAGACTACCGAGGTTTGCAACTACAACATGGCAAGGCACGTTGCGAACTCGATCCATGCGAGAAGGGAGATGGACTTGAGGAACCGCTGGATTGAGATTATTGAGTCTTGGAATTTTGACCCCGAGTTCACGCAGAATGACTTCTTCGGGAACATGTGGTCACCAGGAGAATGTCCGGATCTAGACGAGGACTTCCTCGACCACGGCATCCCTCGTTGGCTTGAGCAATTTCCGGTTGGCCCTCAGCCTTTCGTTGAGATCAAGCAGAAGAGGAAGCCTGATGCCAAGTCCATGCCACGCCCCGGAGCGGCATCGTCTAGCGGAGGGCCTGTCCTTCGTAGCGCGTCGTCCAGTGGAGGGGCTGTCCCCCCTGGCACCGCTCCAGGCGCCGGCAACGACAGGCATCAGGAGGATCAGTCCAACGTCGACTTCGGGAGTGACGCAGTCAAGAGCTTGCTGAGGACTGCTGGCATTGACAATGACAACAGATGGGTCTTGTCGCAGGCTCCCGCGGGTTTGAAGTTCACCGAGTGGATGAGGACTACATTTGATGGGACGCAGGTGCAGGGCGAGTACCTTGAGGGCTCACTTGGACATTCTATTCCCTTCACTGTTCTCTTTCCGGTTCCCAGAAATGAGGCCGAGGTGAACAACTGGGAGAAGTACCTGCGCAAAATCACCACATTGATGCTTGCATGGGTTGAGCCGCAGGACTTCCAGCTCACTTTCCGAAACTTCCACAAGAAGGACTTTGCTGCGTGGCTGAAGCTCTATGCTTACCTATGTGCCAGGTCACAGGTGCTGGAGACGGAGCTCTACCCTGGTGCTAGGCACTTGAAAGCATTGGTGAGGGCGGCCAACAATCCATCAAAGGGACTCGTCACGGCATCCAAGATTATCCCTCCCGACACCAGGAACGACAACCGACATGACATTGGACCGGTTTCCAGAGTGGCAGGAGCACTGATTATGCTGGAGTGGCCTTTTATAGGGAAGTCAGCTAAAGGTGCCTCCTACTATTTTATTTGGAGTCCACGCTGCAGATCAGGGGATGGGCCAATGTCAAGGAGTATTCGGTCCAGAAGAATTACTTGCTCCACCGCGACTCGAGCAAGACCATTGTGGCTCATGCTGAACAGATTGGTAAGGATCTTGCAGGCGAGAGCCCCAAGGGATACGTCGTGCACCTGATGATCTCGATGTACGACTGGATCGATGGTTGGCACGGGAAATGGTTCGTCCGGGACAAGATC